AATGGCAAGCCAACGGCCGCGAAGTCGCCGCTGAACAAAACATTAGAAATTTCTATGATTTGCATGTTTGTTGGTAATAATGGTCCGACTTTTATTATCTTTGCAGCTTTTATAAGTACACACCGTATTACATAGGACAGGAGTAACGGGGTCGCTGTAAAACTTATAGTAAAAAAGCGTAAGAAATTCTTACGGAAATCAGCTTGTGGCAGTGGTAGAATTGAGCCAGAGCGAGAGCGCCATCTGTCGTGGAGTTTGATATCCTTCGCTACACTGACGTTAGTGTAGTGTGGCGCACGTTAGTGTAGCGTGTGGAACTGTCGGCCGGGTACCAGTCTAGTGTGACTATAGACTAAAAATAAAATTTTATTTGATTGGTCGTCAGTGTTTTCATTGCTTGTGATTCATTGGTCGCTCACAATTATTTAAAAGCTTATTTTTTAGTTTCAACTATAGAGATGACAGATGTATAAATAAACGTCATTAATTAACATTAATAAAATGTTTATTTATACATCTCTATCAGCCTGGCTATGGTTTCAACACAAGTCAAATCAAATGTTGTCCCCCCAAAATCCAAAAACTGTTAATCCAAAAACTGTTGCCGGGATCCATCGCCAGTGCGGCGCACACGTATAGCGATTGTTCAGCGAATGGGCAACAAATATCAAACATGTTTGATATTCCAGCGACGAGTTTCTGGCGTCAAAAATCGGTGACGCCGGATCACGCCGGGCAGCGCACACGTGGCGATTTCTCGGCGATTTTGTTGCTGGCGACAGAATCGCCGGTTCTGTCGACAAAAATCGCCACGTGTGCGCCGGCTTTACCGATATTCAGTTCGCCCAATAGATATCATAGTGGGAGGAACGAATAGATGCCAGCTAGGTACCGAGGCTCTTCCTCAATGTAAAGTAAACGGAGTGATGAGATAAGGAACCCATCTATGGATAAAGGATCGCAATTTCCATGTAAGAGTGTGTAGGCCCCTTAATTAGGGGCCTACACACTCTTACATGAAAATTGCGATCCTATGGGGAATGTGGCTACTGAAAATCTATGGGGAAAGTGCCGCTTCAAGTTCAACTACACATTAGTTATGAGATGAACACATATGTAGGGGCCGCCCCTACATATGTGTTCATCTCATAACTAATGTGTAGTTGAACTTGAAGCGGCACTTTCCCCATAGATTTTTAGCGTCTAATGTCTCCCGTACGATGGCGCCAGGTCTGCATTTCCTTAGAAGTGACCTGTGACCTGTAGAATTTTGTGTACAACCGGTGCATTCACTGGCAACGCCTACACTACAGTAATACACAATAATACATAATATTAGTATATTACATGTTATATTCTGTTCTCAGGTTGTGTATATTTGTATATAAATAGGACCTACCGTTGAACTTGAAGTGATTCGGGTGCAGGAGATCATTACTAGAATAAGAACACCGTCAATTCATCATGGGGTTCGAAACTTGTGGGCCAAACGAAGCGATGGTAGTGTCGGGTAAGTTTACTAATAGTAATAGTAATACTATACTACTACTACTACTACTACTACTACCAGGGGCGTAGCCAGGATTTGAAAAGTTGTAGGCACGACTATCTGAGCTGAGCGCCACGATCGGTTGGCGCGGAGCGTACAAGAAA